CCCCATCCAGCCCCATTACAGGCCCTCTGGGGACTGGGACTGGGGCTCCCATCCCATCCGATGGGAGCGGAGATAATCAGGATTTTACAGGCATTGTCACCTTTCCGGGGACATCAGCCCCGAGCAAAGCCACTCCAGGGGAGATGGAGCTGCTGCCATCCCACAGCCTCGCAGGGGACAGAGCTCCAGCATGGTGGGATCTGCTGGGGACAGGAGCCAGGCAGGGACACAGCCCCCAGTGCCACCTCCTAAAGCCTTTGACTTTCTTCTGATTGATCATTTGGGGACAAAAATCCCATCCCAAAGGAGGGCACAGGCTGAGGATTGTTCCTTTCTCACCCCCTTTTTCYTCAACCCCCAAGTCTGAGACTTTTSGGGTAAGGCTGGAGGGAGAGAAAACCCCTGCATGACCCCACTGGTCTCCTCTTCACCACAGCATGGAGCAGATTTACCCCAAAAAATATTTCTAGGCAATGGGGGAATGAGTTTGTGTGGGTTTGGGGGACACCCCAAGTACCCATCTCAGCATGAGTTGGTTCTCTCTTCTGTGACAGAAATGTTCCAGGGAAAAGTTCTCCCCACAACGTTTGGCTGAAGGATTTTTCCCGGTGGGTGTTTGCTCCTACAAAAAAACCCGCTGATTTTAGTGAATCAGGAAAATTCTGTACATGTGAAATCCAGCTGCTCCCAGCCTGTTCCTGTGCTTGAAACGGCTCAGGAGGGTGGTGAGGGGCTGTGACCCATGTCCTGCCCCTGGGGAGGATAAAATGACCCCTGGACAGGATAAAATCACCTCTGGGGAGGATAAAATCACTCCTGGAGAGGATAAAATAACCCCTGGACAGGATAAAATCACCCCTGGGAAGGATAAAATGACCCCTGGAGAAGATAAAATCACCCCTGGACAGGATAAAATCACCCTTGGAGTTGACAAAAACACCCCTGGGGAGGATAAAATCACTCCAGGACAGGATAAAATCACCCCTGGGGAAGATAAAATCACCCCTGGGGAGGATAAAATCACCCCTGGACAGGATAAAATCACCTCTGGGGAGCATAAAATCATCCTTGAAGAAGGTAAAATCACCTCTGAAGAAGCTAGAATCCTCCCTGAAGATAAAATCCCTCCTGGAGAGGATAAAATCACCCCTGAAGAAGATAAAATCACCCCAGGGGAGCATAAAATCACTCCTGAAGCACCTTCCCTTTCCTCTTTGCACCATCCCACCCTCCACACTCCATAATTTTGTGGTGATTTCAGGCACTTTGGGAACTCAGAAGTTGTTCAGACGTTTGGCTGGGGAATTGAACCACCCTCTGGAGCAGAAGAGTGGGGAAGAAAGGAGTTTTGATTTTATTTCAAGGCAGATCTCCAGCGGGGAGCACACAGCGTGCCAAAGGCCTGCAGAGACACGAGCAGCTCATGCCACAGAGCGAGGAAAAGCAGGGAAYTTCTGTGGGGAAAACATCCAGCCAGGAGCCCTGTCCCTCTCCTGTGGCAAAATCACCACTGGAGAAGGTAAAATCACCCCTGGTAAGGATAAAGTCACCCTTAAAGGTCAAATAGCTCCTGGAGAAGATAAAATTGCTCCTGGAGAGGATAAAATCACCCCTGGGGAGAATAAAATCACCATTGAAGAAGGTAAAATCACCCCTGAAGAAAATAAAATGACCCCTGGAGAAGATAAAATGACCCTTGGAGAGGATTAAATCGCCCCTGGGGAGGATAAAATCACCCCTGAAGAAAATAAAATCACCCCTGGAGAGGATAATATTACCCCTGGAGAGGATAAAACCACCCCTGGAGAGGATAAAATCACCCCTGGGGAAGATAAAATCACCCCTGGAGAGGATAAAATCACCCCTGGGGAAGATAAAATCACCCCTGGAGAGGATAAAATGACCCCTGGGGAAGATAAAATCACCCCTGGGGAGGATAAAATGACCCCTGGGGAGGACAGAGGATAAAATCATCCCTGTAGAGGATAAGATCACCCCTGGAGAGGACAAAATCACTCCTGGAGAAGGTAAAATCACCCCTAGATAGGATAAAATCACCCCTAGATAGGATAAAWCCACCCCTGAAGAGGATAAAATCACCYCTGGGGAGGATAAAATCATCYCTGGAGAGGATRAAATCACCCCTGGACAGGATAAGATCACCCCATGAGAASATAAAATCACCCCTCAAGAARGTMAAATCACCCCWKRRGAARATMAAATCACYCCTGAARARGATAAAATYACYCCTGRAGAGGATAAAATYACCCCTGGRRAGGATAAAATCACYCCTGAAGAAGGTAAAATGACCCCTAGAGAGGATAAAATGACACCTAGAGAGGATAAAATCACTCCTGGACAGGAGTGGGCACCAGACAATTGGGGCTCGTTCACAAGCAGACAACACAAAAGGATCACTGGGACTGCATGGGAAAATGGGAGAATAAGCTGATCCCATCAGGGTAACACCTTCCCAGCTATAACATCCTGGCCTGGGGAACTGGGGAGCGACAAAAACACAGCAAGAAGCACAGAAACGGAAAAGCCAGGCCCTCACACCCTGATGTTGGTGATCCAGAGCTTTTTGGGAGCTGCACAACCATCCCCATGGTCCTGCAAACCCTGCCCAGTCCTGCAGCAGAGACAAAAAAAAACCCCTCATTCCATGTGCCAAGGTCCTGCCCGAGCAGCAGCTGGAGCAGGAGCTTAAAATGTGCCTCGTGCTCAGATTTGGAAGCCTTGGAGCAGGAATTGGAGGAAAATCCAATTCATCCTCGTGCTCAGCACATCAGGGCACAGCAGCAGCTGTGGGGAACCACTGTTGGGAGAGAGAGGGATGCTGAGAGCTGGGCAGGGGGAACCTGGCACAGGGAACCTGGCACAGGGCTTTGGAGATARGGAAGGCTGAGATCAGCAGATGTCACATCAGCAGCTGGGATGGAAATGGCTTTTCTAGGATTAAATATCCTAGTGCCATGGAATAGAATTGGAATGTGACACCACAATATGGTAATTCCCATATTCCCACCTGGGGTGTTGTGTCCAAYTCTAGGGCTCCCAATACAAGAAAGACCCGGAGCTGCTGGAGAGAGTCCAGAGAAAACCACGGAGACGCTGCAGGGCTGGAGCCCCTCTGCTCTGGGGCCAGGCTGGGAGAGCTGGGGGTGCTCACCTGGACAGGAGAAGGATCCAGGGAGAGCTCAGAGCCCCTTTTGGGGCCTGAAGGGGCTCCAGGAGAGCTGGAGAGGGACTGGAGACAAGGGCTGGAGGGACAGGACACAGGGAATGGCTTCCCAGTGCCAGAGGGCAGGGATGGATGGGATATTGGGAAGGAATTGTTGGCTGGGAGGGTGGGGAGGCCCTGGCACAGGGTGCCCAGAGCAGCTGTGGCTGCCCCTGGATCCCTGGCAGTGCCCAAGGCCAGGCTGGACATTGGGGCTGGGAGCAGCCTGGGACAGTGGGAGGTGTCCCTGCCGTGGCAGGGGTGGCACTGGATGGGCTCTGAGGTCCCTTCCAACCCAAACCTTTCTGGGATTCTGTGATAACTTTGGAAAAACATTTTGGGCAATAAATTGAGCCACGTGTTGAAGGGACTCAACTCACCTTGGCTGTCCAAGCCCATTTACTCCAGGGATAACAGTTCCCAGGCAAAAACTGGGGAAGGCAGACACCAGCACTGCCAGGGTCCAGCACAAGGCTCTGCAGGCTGGAAAGGCCAGAAAAAATGACCCCAGTGCTTGGGAGATGGGACCTTCTCCACACCTCTGCTCTCYATTCCTGTTAGAAGATGGGAGTAAYGACAGCACCTTGGGTAAAAGCTGATGGGGCATCTGTAAGAGCACAAACCAACACGAGCCACTCACACCAGTGCCCAGCACAGAGGATGAGGCTCAACCATCAACGTGCTGTTCTTTTACAGAGAAAACAACATGCAGTGGGAGACTTKGGAGGAAAATAGAGATTTTGCCATTTCCCTCTGCCAGATAACTCTGGTTACCTAGGAACAGACACTTCTCCGATGCGGCCAGTTCTCCTCATCAAGCACAGGATGAGCATTTATTGTCTTGTGATCAGGAGAAAAACACAAACAGAACCCAGAGCTCCGGGGGTGACACGAAACATCGCACACAGACACGCCACGTGAYGCCCGACCACACCAGGAGCCAGGGCCAGGTTAATGGTGTTAAGAACTCTTAGAAACCTAATGTAAACATTTAAAAACATACAGAGGAGTCCACAAAAAAAAAAAAAATAAGCCACGGTTGTTCAGGCAGCGTGTTGGGTCAACTTTCTGGAATTACGGTTTCTGGCATTGAAGAGGAGGAGGGGGATGAGATGGCAGATCCCACCTGGAGGTRCACTGAGCTCCAGAGGGATCTCAGGCAGTGCAGGCTGAGAGAGGGTGATTTTGATGTCCAGCTCCAATTTGGGTGCTCCCAGGCACCCCCTGTCCTTGTATCAAGCATTTCCAGTGGGACAGGGTGGGTGCCCCAACAGCCCCCTGATTATCCAAGGGGAAAATCCCAAAGAGAAGCAGGATATGGAGCCCCCAGCAACACTTCTCCTCTTGGYTCCTTCGAAACCTCCAACCTGATGCACTAAAATGGGGCAGGTAGCAAATGGTTCTGAAGAATTTTGGCAAGAGGCTGAGGATGGCGAGGGACTGGACCGAGGGACACGGGTGCACCATGCCCTGGCTCCCAAGGGTGGCCAATCCCCCCTTCAGCCCCGTGGTGCGTCCATCKTATTTCCAGGGAGTCAACTTTTCCAGGCAGTTCTTTCCTCGCTCCGATGGCAAGCGACAGAGAACACTTAAAATTACACTTGACACAAGACAAAGGCACCTAAAAGCTTCACAAYGCCATCAGGCTGTGTTCTGTTAAGAAGGCTCCAAGAGCTCATCCTCCCAAGCACTCTCCAGGAAAATCCCCTGGTGTTGGGAACACATTCCGTGTCCCAGAGCCAGCGGGGGGCTGCTCCTGCAGCAGGGGGTCAGTGTGGCTTGTAAACGGAAATTCAGGGAGGCTCTGCTCTCCCATCTGGGGGTGCTTTTGCTTTGGCCCTGGTAACACAGGGGTCGTGCAGACTCCAGGCTGTGCTTCCCTTATTATTTACAGCRTGACACAGGACGAGTTAATAGGGAAACAAGGAATTCTGCAGGGGGGAGGGGGAAGCGGGAGCTCTCCTCCATGAACTGTGATTTCATTAGGTAAGGCACATGTAGAGAAAAATCTTCAAAAGATCACTTGCAAATCAATTCCACCTAGCTAGGACTGTGTCCCTGTCCCTTTCCAKGAACCAGTTTTGTTTTCCAGTTGCTCAGGGTGAATTTGGAGTGACCCCATCGACAGCCTGTCAAGGCACCTTAGGGTGCCCGAGCCCTCCCACAATCTCCCAAATGGAGCACTCTGGATCACTGGCCAAAACTTTGAGAGCCMAAGACTTGTAACACTCACTCCCTGTAAAAATAATGGGAACTGACCTCCCAGTTTGGACAGGTTGAAAAAAATTCACAGCAGGCTGTCAAGGGGGAAAAGGAAACCGCAGCCTTTGCTGCCTGGATCACTGTAGGACACAGGGAATTGGATGGCTCAGGCACGGAGTGGAGATGAATGACAAGGTGGAGGATAATTTCAGGGAAAACAATCCCTCTCAACAGCTTCATCCTCCCTTCAGCTGATCCTTRGAGAAAGACAGGAATCTCTGTCTCATGGAAGTGCTGCAGAGCCAACAGCAGCCATGAGGACTGAATAGCTTCCCTCAGTCTCCCAGCCCCCACCATAATGTTTGGAGTTCAACTACACCAGCAGAAGGCAGAATTAAACTATTCATTGTAACAGAATCATTTCCAAACCACACTGGGGCCCCAGCACTGAGATCAATCATTATCTTGCATCYGGCTCCTGGCTGGGAACCCAGGGAAAAGTGTCCCAACAGAACAAGGTGTGTCCAGTGGGACATTCCTGGGGCCAGCACAAAACCCTGCTGGAAGTTACACGGTGGGGAGATCTCGTGCTGAGCCCCTGTACCAGGGTGAGCATCACAAGGCCCAGTGGCAGCTCTGCACTGCTTTCCACTGGGTTTTGTTTCAGGCTTTAGCGAGCAATCATGAACCGAAGGAGATGAATCTGCACCTTTGGAACACACAGATCCRGCAAGAGGTTTTGGCAGCGGGGAAAGCAAGATCTGTAGCATCACAACAGTCTGAGCCAGGCAAATGAGGACTCTTGGGGACTTCACATCCGAGGACTCACCCAGGGCACGTTCTGTTACCTGCAGGGATCCTCTTTAGGGAGGGTGGAGGTTTCACAAATCACTTCAGTGTCACCAGTACCAAATAATTTAAGTGCTGCATTTCCCTTAAGAGTGAGAAATTCCACATTATTCATCCGGGAGAGTAAACATCAGGTGCTACGAATGCTCTGATCGCATTTGTGCTGTGCATTCCATGGAAGCYGAGCAGGAGCAGGAGCAGCTGTGGTAGTGTTGCCATTGCAGGGAAGGTCAGGAGAGGATTCCCTCAAGCAAGGGCAGTGAAGGGTTTGTTCCTCAGTCTGGAACGAGGCAAATACTGGTGACTCAAGGCAAACAAAAAGCTTTCTGCCATGGCCGTGCAGTGCAGCGGAGGTGGGGAGGGCTGAGAGAACGGATGTTCTGCAGGGATCAGGAGACAAGAACCAGAAAGGTCCCCGAGATGAGTGGGGAGCTTGWGGGGGGAATGCAAATGATCTTTTCCGATAATAAGAATAAAAAGACCAAAAAGGAGAGAATCCAGGCAGTTTGCAGCTGCTGCTGCTTAAGGCCATTGGTTTCCAGAGGGGTAGTTGGGCACTGTGGGATACTCTGGCAGGCTGTTCCCAGAAAAATTGCTGTACTGGGCCTCCCTGCTGGGGGGGTTCCTCCAYGCGCCGCTGTTCCACTCGTCCTGAGCCTTCTGGAAGCTTCCACCACCCCCTCGGTAGATTTTATGTACCTAATGGATGAAAGGGAGGACAAGAGGAGAGTCAGCACCAGGAGCCCAGAGCTGTGCCCTTGCAGGGCCATTTGGGAACAGGATTGTGGCTTTGTTCCTCTCTCTGTAAAGAGCTGGATGTCTGAAGAGCAAAAGCATGAAAAATGCAGTAATGCAGTGAACAGAGGTACAGAGAGAGAATATCATCCCAAAACTGGAACCCATTCCAGCTGCATGCCTGGGATTCAGGTGGGGGATCTCACAGCAAGGCAGCCAGCCCAGGCCAGGGAGCTGAAACCTCTCCGACACAGGCACSACTGTGTCCACAGGGCTTCTGTTTTCCCTGTCTGCCAAAGCCTTCCAGACCCCCTACAGCAAATCCTTCCTTCTGCAGAGACCCACTGCCCACCCTGGCACCTGGTCCCCACTGCAGATGCTTTGCCACTGACCATCCCAAGGAGCAACAAATCATGGAGTCACAGAATCACTGAGGTTGGAAAAGACCTCTATGACTACCAAGTCCAACCATCAGCCCAGCTTCACCATCAAGTTCACCACTAACCCATGTCCCCAGGGGCCACACCAACACATTTTTTGAACACTTTCAGGGATGGTGATTCCACCACAACCATGGCCAGCCTATTCCAGTGCTTGACAACCCTTTCTGTGCAAATGTTTCCTAATATCCAATCCAAACCTCCCCGCTTCACGCAGCCTGGAGTTGCTCCACATGAAGCTTGCTTTGCGTGACATAAAGCAACATCACCGCATGCCATGGTGACAATTGCCAGCCTGAGCTGTCTTGTGCTGTCTGGATTTGTCCTCCAGAAACTCTGAGAGACATCGACTGACTGCACTGTGCAACCTTTCAAAGCAGTGATGATGGCTTGTGGTGGCTGCTGAGCTGCCTCTTCACATTATTGTGATACACAGCGGGGATATTCCAAGTTGGAGAGGATCTGAAGAAACCCAGAATCCCATAATGGTTTGGGCTTRAAGGAACCTTAAATCTCATCTCATTCCACCCCCCTGCCACGGGTAGGGACACCCTCCACTAGAAGAACCTACCCTTAAAATGCAGATGAGCATCGCAACCGCTGACATGGTGAACATGATGGCAGGGAACAGCATGAACACAGCAGCTGCCACGTTGGTGCTGAAGAAGGTGATGGCTGCCAACCATCCACTGGAAGGAACAGAAAGAGAGAAACATTATAATCTGCTTTTTAAAGTGTGCTTGTTATCAGAAAAACTGTTACTTGCTTMTAAGGCCCCAGCACAGGGTGCCCAGGGCAGTTGTGGCTGCCCCTGGATCCCTGGCAGTGCCCAAGGCCAGGTTGGACAGRGCTTGGAGCACCCTGGGACAGTGGGAGGTGTCCCTGCCATGGCAGGGGGTGGCACTGGACGGGCTTTAACATCTCTTCCAACTCAAACCATTCTCTGTTTCTGTGACTCACAACCCAGAAATTACAAGGCAGCTTTGAAGCTCTTGAAAAGGAAATGAACAATGCAGACAATGGACAGAATTCAATGCAGGTATTTCTCCCAGATCTTAACTCTCACTTGCCAGCATCCTTCACTAATCCACTATTAAAGCTTTAAGGGACAGCCAGCTGCATGAAGTTTGGGAAGATTTACTCCCAAGGTGCTTTTGGTCGTGTATGTAGAGAACAGAACAGGGAYCAGCAAACACCAAGGTCCTGTGAGTTCCACTCCATCTCCTTTCCTTTGCTGACAAAAACTAGGTGAGACATCAGCAGCTCTGAAAACAGAGAGTTACACGGAGTGCTAAGACTTTCCATTACTTGTTGTTTCAGCAGGAATTRCTCTCAGGTCTTTAGAGACAGGAAGTGAAAATGCCAAACAATTATAAGATAACCAGGGACAGACACTAACAGGCTCTCATTTATTTTAGGAGAACTCTCAGAGCACTCCTCATAGGCCAGCAGTGAGTCACCACTGTGCTCACCGTGTGCTGCCAACACCGAGGGCAGAGCTGGGCTGATGTGGGCTGGTTAAATGGTGAAAGGAATGGACACTGAGGGAAGAGGCTACAAAAACCAACCAGGGGGAAATCACAGAATGGTTTGGGTTGGAAGGGACATTAAAGCCCACYCAGTTCCCACAGCAGGGACACCTTCCACTAGACCWGGCTGCTCTGAGTCTCATCCAACCCAGCCCCGACTTCTGCCAACACAGCAATGAAACCTGAACTGTGCCCCCCAAGAGCAGATATATCTGTGCCACTGGGGGAAATCACAAAGCTTCTTCCTCTCCACCCATCAGGCTCCCATCAGCTTCTCCAAGGCYGTGGAAAGGAATGTTCCCGCTTACCACGCTCCCCATCCGGAGAAGCCGATGGCCTGCAGCACYGTGAGGAGGAACTGCGCCCCGAAGATGAAGAAAAAGGCCATGAAATTAAAGGAGCTGTCYGACCTGTGGAGGAAGAGAGACAGTCAGGGGGGCACTGGCACCTTGTGCTGCCTCACACCCGTGTGTGACCCCACCACCACATTCCAGCCCTCCGCAGTGGTGACTCCAGAGGGATCCCTCTGAGCTGGGGAGGCTTCTCCCCCTTCCCTGGCAGTGAGAGCACACAGCTCCATGACTCAGCAGCACAGATTGTCTCCCAATAACCTGGCTCCTGCAGTGGCTCTCCCCAAAGAATTGCATTGTATGATGACACACGGGGAGAGGCGGAGGGACACGAGTCTCCTACACAGAGTCTGAATCATTCTCTGACCAAACATCAGCCCAKCCTGACACCTGCCCAGCTCATTCCCTGACAGGGAGGCACACAGGGGCCAGGCAGAGCTTGTCCATACACTAAAAGTGATCACTGAGCATGAGAATTCCAGCTGGGAATATTGCAGTGTCTGCTTGTCATCATGCTCACACATGGAAACAATGATAATGGTAAATAATCCAGCATTGGGACCCAACRGGAGGGAACACAGCCATGGGAGAGKTGGGTGGGAAAGCAGAGGCACACTTCCCATCTCTGCAGGCTCCCCACCCTCAGGAGGTGCAGGGGAGCCCCCTGAGTTTATTCAGGATGCACATGACCCCAAGCAAGAGCTGACCAGGGACAATCCCTGTCTCTGTCATGGGTGCACTGGGGGCCAGCACTGCCCTGCCATAGTTTGGGCTCTGCCACAACACATYTTCCTCCCAACAAACCAGCTACATCAGGCACATCCACAGTTTCTCAAACTATCATTTTTCATTACACTAATGATCCCCATACTCTCAGGAACTCAAAGGGCCAATAATTGTTCTACAGATCTACACAAAACACTTCAGGTGCTAATGAGGYACTTTGGTGCAAACGGGAGTTTACAAAAGAGCTCCAATCACTGCCAGCTCCTGCTTAAACCCTGAAAGTATTTAAATGTGTATTATTTTAATTATGTTAACACTTGTTAGTATTATAATTGTAGCCCCTGATGCCTAGGGAGGAGATGAGGGAGGTGAGACACGTGGAGAAGCCTCGAGCCAGTTCATCAGAGCCACCCATGTTGGTCTGAGCGTCTGTCAGCACCCAAATGGTGGCTGTGGAAGATTTGTCATCCTTGAGTATCCTCCCAATCCCACCCTTCAAATACCACCTCAGAGCACAGCAATGTGAAAGAAATACTTTAGGCAGGGCCTGCTGACAGTGGTGCCTGTCAGAATCCAATTAACAAGGATTAGGCTCCAGGCTGAGCCTTCAAACAGACTCTTGCAACTCCGACCTGAAGTGGCTGGAAGAGTCTTCATTTGAAAGGATCTGCAGGAATTAGTAAGGATACAGAGAAAAGGTGATTTCTCATCCAGCTTTCTGGTGCAGATTTGCTACAGCTTTGCCCTAGCGCCAAAGCTCTGCAGCTAATTTAATTTGGGATGCAGTGGGATGACAAAGGTTTTACGGAAGCATTCTTGCAGGACAGGGTGCCAGCACTGAAGGGTGGCCTCCTCCACAATAAATGGGTCTGATTTTGCCTCTGGAATCACTRTTTGTGGTGATCCCAACAGCGCTGCCCCTCTGCAGAGATTTCCACGCCTGTTCCCAACTGCTGTCCCAGGGGATGGTCCCTGTGCTCCCCATTCTGGCCCTGGGGTTGAGTCTTTATTTAACTGCACAGAACAACCTCGGGGACCTCTCAGCATTCACTGCATAAACACATCCAAACAACATTCAGGGAATAATGAGAAACGGCCCTTGTGGAGCCCGGGGGAGGTCAGCAGGGAGGAGTAATTTTTCCCAGACTTTAGCATGGAAATTCCTCTTTGAACAGAGCTCCAGCACTCGGAGGCCCTGGGGCTTCTGAGCTCAGGATAGGGACAAACTTCAGTCCCAGAGGGCAAGAGTTCAGAGCTGGGATTTTCAGGTCATTTAGAACCTTGAGACAAATCCCACCCTCCTGTTTCCATCAGCAATGAGCCTCCCTGCACTCCACAATGCCACTGGTGATTTAGCAGTACCTGCCCAGTACCTGCCCAGTTAATTTAGAACTTTGACACAAATCCCACCCTCCTGTTTCCATCAGCAATGAGCCTCCCTTCACTCCACAATGCCACTGGTGATTTAGCAGTACCTGCCCAGCAGCTGTGGGCACACAAAGCATCAATTCAGAATTTCAACAATTAATTTATCATGTGCTAAACAGGCAGGACTCACCTGCCACCTCCCATTTCCATCAGCTGCTTGTGCTGTTACCCAAACCAGCTCATAACAGAGTCTRGTGAATAACCAAAATCCAGAGTATTCAACCAGAAAGAGCTTCACCTTCAGAGGGYAAACCCCTGAGTGGTGAGTGGGGCTGTGGTGGTGACACTGGGCAGGTCCCTCCTCTCCCTGGGCCAGGCTGGGAAATGCTCAGGGCCCTTCCAGCTCTGCCAGGCTTTACACATTAATGTTTGAGTGATGCCTCATGGCCCACAGCAAATGCAAATGATTATTAATTAAAGCAAAAATGTAGGATGGCTTTAAATATTTGTGGAGTTGCAGAAGGACTGACTCCAGGGAGCTGCTTTTATCCAAAAAGCTAAGCAGACAAGCTGTAGAGTAGCTGGAGACACAAATCAGAAGAGTTCTCAAAAACTAATAACTTAATAGTCTTCCATCAAAAAAAGCCTCAATGAAGCTTTACCAAATTAGCACGTATTTTAATGCTGCACTGAGATGAGGGTGCTGCTAAGTTTGAGATATTTAAGTAAAATATGGATTTTAACCCCAGAGAGGTGGCAAACTGCTCACCTCCAATTTTAGGTCACTTATTTAATTATGAACCGTCAGTCCTGTATCTAGCATTTAAAAGTAGTCACATTCTTCTTCATTTTGAAAGTAAACAAGACATCCAGACATCGAGTCCTTCATTTTTATCCCAACCACAGAGATCTCCCCAGGAGCACCTCCCCAATAACAACTGGAAAACCTTCCAGAGCAAACTGGACCAGAAGCACCTCCTGGGCTCCCACTCACCGAAAAGCTTTGTAGGCAGGTCGGAACCAGCAGACGTAGCCACAGGGGCTGAAGAGGATCAGCCAGAGGATGGCCAGGCCAAAGTTGACCCCRTAGCCTCCCCCGATCCACCAGGCCAGGCAGGCGATGAGGTTCACGGCCAGCGTGATGCAGTAAACTGGGGAGAGGGCACAGGAGACAGCGTGGGGTGGGGCAGTTTCAGGACTTCACCAGAAAAGGAAACAAAAGTTAATGGCTGGAGCTGTGTCAGGGCTTGGGAGGGATCTCAGGGAAAGGTTCTTCTGTCCCCAGAGGGTGCTGGCACTGCCCAGGCTCCCCAGGGAAAGGTTCTTCTGTCCCCAGAGGGTGCTGGCACTGCCCAGGCTCCCCAGGGAATGGTCCCGGCCCCGAGGCTGCCAGAGCTGCAGGAGCRTTTGGACAGCGCTGCCAGGGATGAACAGGGTGGGGATTTTGGGGGGTCTGGGCAGAGCCAGGGTTGGGATTGATGATCCCTGGGGGTCCTTTCCCACTCCAGGACTCTGTGAAGCCCCCAGGGTTACAATGGGAAGGGTCCCTGGGGCAGCTGCTCCAAGCAAGGCACAGGTTCCTGTGTCACCCTAAGGTTGGGGGCACAGGCACAGCCAGCTCCAGAGGGATCCCACAGCAGAGGGATGAGGGAACTCTTTTGGGACCTGTCAAAGGATGGAGAGCTTGGGTAGCGACTGATGTGACCAATGCAAGACTCAGGCCAGTGTTATTATGAATTATGAGCGAGGTCCAATGTCCATTTACAGCAAAACCCCTTTGAGAGAGGGGAGGGGGTAACCCCAGCCCTGCCCCCACCTCAGAATGACTCTGTGCTTGCTGGGGCTGCCTCAGGAGCTACCACAGAGCCAGCTCAGTGCCTTGCGGGCTCCCTCTCCACTTCCCTGGGCCTCTGAGGAAGCTGGGAGTCAGCTTGAGGGCTTGGAAATGCTGYCTTGAGCAAGGGGATAAACAAACTCCAATCAGGCTGAGAATACGGGACCATAGGGGTGGCTTAGAGGCCTTTTCACATCCCTGTTCCTGTCACTCGGATAAAAAGGAACGGCTGACAAAGGCCCCCAGCACACAGCAGTGCTGCACTGAGGAGCTGTGTATGAAGGGATGCTGCTCTCCCATTTTTCTGCAGCTCACAGCCCTGGAAAGAGGGTTCAGCCCCATGTCAGGGGCTCCCTGCAGCTCCCCCAGGCTCTGCCAGGGTCAGAAATGCCAGTTCATAAGCTCCAGTTTTGAAAAATTGGTGGTGACTCCTAAAATCCTTTGTGGTAACAACAAGCACAGAGACTSAGGAGGTGGAAGGTGCAAACAGCACAGATCGTCCAGCACAGCCTGGTGCTGAGCTCATGGTGACATCCTGGACCTTGGCCTTGGTTATTCAGGCAAAATTAAATCCCTGAATTTCTCTTCCCCCACTCCAAGGGAATGTGTCCTGCCCGATTTCTGACTCACTGTCCCTGCCGTGGCTCTGCAGCTCATCTGCACATCACTGCCCTGGCCCTGCTGACTCTTCCCTGTGCCCCTGGGCACTGACCCACCTGCCTTCACACAGCCTGGGGGTCCTTAAACAACTGCAAGGTTTTATGGTCATCAAATAATACTGACAGCACAGTCAGGAGAATGAAACCTATACCCAGCTGCTGCTTCTGACCTACACATGGCCTGAGAGGAAAGTAAAATGCTGTTTTACTGCAAAGAAAATGACTTCTGAGTAGCCAACAAAGCTTTAAACATAATGGTTTGGATGTGTCTTAATATTGGGGAGGGAAAAAGAAGATTAGTTATTTAAATTAATTAATTTTAGGTATTTAAGCTACCAGGGTGTGGAYTCCCCATCCCTGGAAGTGTCCAAGKCARGGTTGGRCAGGGCTTGGAGCACCCTGAGACAGTGGAAGGTGTCCCTGCCCATGGCAKGGGGTGGAATGGGATCAGCTTTAAGGTCCTTCCAACCCAAACCATTCTGGGATTCCACAATTCTGTGAAATTTCACTTATACACCAATTAGCTGTATTCTTCCAAACCTTCATTTTCAGAAGCTATTTATTCTCAAAAAGCTATTAATGAAAAAAAAAACCCAACTAAACAACACAGAGCCAAGAGCATCCATAAAGTTTTAAGGAACTTTTGGCTCTCCCAGTGCCTCAGGCCAGAGTTTGTTCTCCAGCAGTGGGAGCTCTGGTACAGCCTTCCCCAAACCTCCCTCCACCTTAATCCAGCRCTCACATCCAATTAAAGTAATGAGCAATCACCCTTCCACCAACCACTTGTGTGTTTCTACTTTTCCAAACCGGCTTTTTCTTGTTTACCTCCTTCCCTTTATGTGCCTCTCTCCATCCCACGCCAAAAAAAAAAAAAAATCAGGGAGACCCCGAAAGAAGCGCTCTGCAAATGGAAATGTGAGACTCCTGGTGCAGATGGCAGCTCTCCTGGCCATGCCCAAATCCCTGGCTCCTTTCCAGGCTGCCATTAACTCGACTGAGGGACTCTTTGTTTTGGGAGAGGGGAGGACAAAGGAGGCTTTACAGCTTCCACATCGCACCAGTGAGTCTGGAGGGACAGGCAGCTTCTTCAGGCAAGAAAATTACAGAGCTCATTGCAGCGGCTCCACATAACCAAAGAACAATGRAGCCATGGATTATGCCATTATTTATGCACACAAATCTCTCTCCTACACACATCCCGTGCATCTGGAATAAAAGCCACGCCACCAAATGCAGAGCTGGCAGAAAACAAGCTTTTCCTTCAGCGAGAAGGGTAAAGAGGATGACAAGCATTCGGGGAAAAAAAGATAAGCAGGGCAAAAAGATTCTTAATCTTCCAAAGCGTTCCCTGTGGTTTCCTAGGCCTGCCACACCGATTTCATTCCTTGCAGAAGAATGGTCAATTCTCATTCCTGGTTTCTGAATGGCTGAGGCAAACAACAGGAGCCCAGGGCCTGTTCACACAGGCTATCAGCACATCAGCAGCTGGGACAGAGGATCAGCTCCCARCTCCAGCAGGATGGGGGATGTGTGGGGGGCTGTGGATAGCTAGGGAAGAGCCAGCATGCAGCCAGAAGACACTGCTTCCATTGGGAAAGGAAATCTGGGGATAAGAAGGAATTTTTGTCTTCCTAGAGTGAGGTGGGGAGCCAGGTAGCAGCAAATGGGCCACACTGATTCTGTCTGAAATTCTCCTTTTCCACTTACCTTAGGGGAATTGGGAATTGCCTTAAGGTGGCTATTTTTGGGAGTTCATTTGGGCTCACAAAAAGGATGGAGAGGGACTTTGGAGAAGGGCATGRAGGGACAGGACAAGRGGGAATGGCTCCCAGTGCCAAAGGGCAGGAATAAATGGGATATTGGGAAGGAATTGTTCCCTGGGAGGGTGGGCAGGGGCTGGGATGGATTTCCCAGAGCAGCTGTGGCTGCCCCTGGATCCCTGACAGTGCCCAAGGCCAGGTTGGACAGGGTTGGAGCACCCTGGGACAATGGGAGATGTCCCTGCCATGGCAGGGGTGGGATGGGATGAGCTTTAAGGTCMCTTCCCAAACTATTCTGGAATTCTGTGATCGTTTGACGTTAATAAAGGTCTGCTTTTTCCTCTTCAAATTTCCTAACAGACATTTCCAGTACTGATACTCTCCTTTCTTCAAGGATTCAAGGCACAGCAGCTTCAAACTCAGGCATAAATTTATATTAGAGTATTCTAAAGGGAATCATTACTCCTCATCAACAAATTGCAGTGAAACTTTAAAGCACAGAAGTCATTGAGGTCTACAGGTTTTTACTACACAAATACCTTTTTCCAGCATAGGATTTTTTTATTCAACTTACAGATCCACACATGATAGATTCTCTTCACCAGGAACTGGTAATCGATGGGGATTTCATCAGCAAAATTCTGGTAGAAACATGGTTTCAGAGGGATGAACTTGGGGAGCGGYGGGAAGTTATTCACCTTTTCTGGAACACAGAACACAGATTTCAGCTGGGAGCAGGAATTTGTCACATCCTCCACACCTTCCCAACAGMGCTGCATGGATGCCAAAGATTTTGGTTTTCTTCCTCAGCAGTGGACAGGACATTTATTCTACTGTCTGCAAGGCTGAGGGAGGGGAATAGGAACAAGTTAATAAACACCATGTGGATTTAACACTTTTACACATTGGTGTGARGTTGTGTGAAAGGTGCTGCAMRAWWAAAAAAACCTAAAATAAGCTCCAGRATGAGCTTCCTCAGGAAGAGGGAGGTGTCAGCAACATCTGGGGGAAACAGCTGCACAGAGGTGTTCAGTTATAACCTTTCAGAAATCCATAACAAGAGGAAAAAAAGGCTGCTGAGTGTCCAGACAAGCAGATTTACCTTCAGCCACAGCTGGGAGCAGGAGCACGTCCTGGCCATGGGTCAGGCCTTAGGACCTGCAGTAGCCTGGGACAACACAGGAGGAAGCCTGAATGCATCTCCAAACTGGAATTCTGTACCCTGGTACCATCCAGTGCAGGGAAGAAAGTCAGATTTTGGAAAGGAATTGTTCCTTGGGAGGGTGGGAAGGCCCTGGCACAGGGTGCCCAGAGCAGCTGTGGCTGCCCCTGGATCCCTGGCAGTGCCCAAGGCCAGGCTGGACATTGGGGCTGGGAGCAGCCTGGGACAGTGGGAGGTGTCCCTGCATGGCAGGGGTGGCACTGGGTAGGTTTTAACATCCCTTCCAACCCAAACCATTCGGTGATTCCATGTCAGGGATGATCTTGTTTTGAAAACTCCCATGATTTTTAATGGAAAAAGGGCACATTCAAGTTTTTCCTGCAAGGTTAAACCCTAGGGAAAAGAAAAAAAAAAGAAAAGAAAAAAAGAAAAAGCTTTGCATTCAGAGACAATAAATCAGCAAATGCTGCCAAAAGCTATATGGCGAAGAAAASTCTACCTTGGGAAGAATTTCTGTTTTCAAATCAAGTAATTAAATGCCTAAACCCTGTGCTGCTGTCAGCTCCCGGATTTGTCTGTGTGTGCCTRGATGTGTGCTCCTACATGTTCGGGAATGTTTGCTCTTGCCTTCCAGAGCTGATTAAAGTTTGATTCCAGGGCATTGTGACTAATTGTCTCTAGCCTCCTTCAGCCCCAGTAAACAGAATTAAAAACAACCAGAGGAAGAGATGAAGAATGTCCTGGGAAAACCTCCAAATGGCGCAGGAGACGAGAGGAAATGTCTGAACAAGAACTGTCAGCACAAGAGTTCCCCTTCTCTTCCCATTATCTCCGGCTGAGGAGACATTTTGCAGGAGCAGCTCCTCAGCTCTGTTTGAAGGTTGGCAGGGAAGAGCCTGGAGCTGCAGCCAGGCTTTAGGAAGGAAAAGGCTTTTCCCTCGTGCATATTTTCACACAGAAAAGATGGTGAGAACACCCACTGGGAACACATCAGAAGTAGCTACAGAATAATGTCTGAAGTCACCAGCTCAATTTGACTTCTCCTGATAAAACAAACATGAAATCTTCTGCCCCTCCTCACCMATCCTCCTTCAACCCATTTTAGATTCATTCAGATGCTCTCTGAGCTGGTTTGAGTTACTGGTTAACATCACTGCTGASTCCATCCCATGGAGAGCTGATGGACCACGGATGTTTTCAAAGTCCACAGGAATTTGGACTCCTTAGCATMAWTTTTTTGTTTGCTGTAAACACCTAATGGGATTTCTCCAGCACACTGTGTCCCTGCAGCCTAGAAAGGGATTGAACAATGCTGGATCAAGGGAAAGCGGGGGGACAGAACWCTTAAAAGCTGAAGGGACAGGTCTCTAGGGAGGCCAGTATGACCAAGATTAATCAAACACATTAAAAGCAGATTCTCAGACAATTAATTGTTTTTCTGAGGGAGGAGGAAATTTTTGTTCTGTCCCTCTTCAACAGCTGAAGCTGCAGATTGTTCCTTTGGTTCTGCTCTCTCCCATTTTCTGCCATGGACAGCAGASCTGCTGCCAGCTCCCACGTGGTGGGGCCAAAACTAACCAGCCACTGCAGTTTGTCATTTTTTCAACCTCATAAAACGGTCCAAACACCCCCACAATTGTTTGCTAGGTACACAAAGCTGGGGATTACACCTCTTTCCTGCTGCTGCCCAGCTGCTGACCACCTCCTCCCACCCAGAGACCCTGCAGTTCCCAGCTGTTCTGGGTTACTGCTGAAATGAAACAAAATAAATCAAATGAAAATATCCCCTTTCATGTCTGACTGCAGAGCTTGGAGCGCAGGGATCGACACATCAGATCAGCAAACACAGCCCCTGCTTTCAAAAACCAAACTGCATCACCCATGAGCAGCAGCTGGAGGCAAGTTCCAGACTTGTTCTTACCTTAAAAAAGCTGGAATTTTGTTACTACTTTCACTACAAGTAAAATTCAGATGGATTAATATCAATACCACAGCCAGGAATGCTGTGGAAAGCCTCTGTAAGGAATGAATTATTCTCATGTACTTTTTAACGAATAAATTCCACCCTTATCCAACTTTCAAGGAAGTCACACCTGAGCCTTTATCACTTGAGCAGAAACCTCAGGTCACAGCCTCAGGACACTGCAGGAAAGTGAAGGTGACCAAGGCAAGAGAAGCAGCTGAAGGGGTCACCAAGGTCTTGGGAAGGGACACAGGTCACATTCCTGACACGTTACAGCAACCACAGCATCATGAACAACACTGTGTGAAACCACTCTCCCCACCTGCCATATCTGAGGTGCTCTTACCTGCCATTTCTGTCACTTGTGTTCCCTGGTGAGGCTTCAGACAGAGCAATAGATCTGTTGGAGAATGAAAACCAGGTCAGCACATGTCACTGACCAGTACCCAGAGAACMTTCTGGAACTGGGAGCATTCCCAGTGTGTGACAAAAAAGAGCCCAGGGTTCCCACTGCAAACCACTCATGTCCAATCACCCAAAGCAGGAAGGCTGGACCCTCACAGAAAGGATCCTGATTTCTCTTTGTTCAGAGGAAGCTCTGGCAGCACCTCATTCAGCCATTTGGAAGGTTTRTATCCTCCAGCAGCACAAAATGTGCTGTTGGCACTCACTGGCAAAGGCTGAGGATGCTCAGAGAGCCCCTGCCAGAACACCTGCAGTTTCCAGGGGCAGCCACCCAGGTGAGGGTGGGACCAGCAGAGCTCATACTTTGGAAAAAAAATGTGTAGAGCTCACCAGACTTAATGCCTCATTTAGGTGTTGAGATGATTTGTTGGCTCCTGGCTCCCCGTGGTCCTCCCCAACTCCTGGAACAAACAGATAATCCCTGTTAGCTGGGCACTAAACTCCTGCTTCACAAAAAAATAATCAGCTGCTACCAAACCCAACACCCCTCATCATTTTAGAAATTCTGCACAAACGCAGATTCATTCTTTCTGTTACCACCCCTGAGCGTGGCTTTAACTCTGGCAGAAGCAAATCCTGGGAAGTTTATCCAGCATCAGCCCTGTTGCTGATTTTGGCAGAGCTGATCCCACAGATGAAAGACACACAGAAGTCTTTGCTGAGCTTTAATTCCACCCCTTCCTCAAGGATAAAAACACCGTGTGTCCCTACCTGCAAATTGCAGAATGGAAACAYACAACATGCAAATCAACCCTGCAAAGCAGCACTGTGGGGTCTGACAGAAACCATGGCAGTCTAGACTCAAAACTGCCCTAAAAACACCACCAACAGCTGCAGCAGCAGGGTCAGAAGGGGCACACTGTATCCAAATCCCACAGGATTTACAGCAGCTCGTTTCCCTCTCCTGCACCTCCCTGCTATCTCCCAAGCATCCTGGGTAAGGTTTAGAGGCTGCAGTTTTGCACCGGCACAGTTGTTTTTGTGGGGYTSCATYTGCTTTTATTTTCRTTTGAACAATTCTAACCCAGCCTTGCAGACAACAGCACTGGGGTAAGAACCAGATGTACAAGTTTAAAGAAGTCTGCAAAGAGGGGTTTAGAGGCTGCAGAGTTTTGCACCGGCACAGTTATTTTTGTGGGGTTGCAATTGCTTTTATATTCATTTGAACAATTCTAACCCAGCCCTGCAGACAACAGCACTGGGGTAAGAACCAGGGCTGTACAGGCAGCCTGTTCCTCCTCTGCAGAGATGCACAAATTTAAAGAAGTCTGCAAAGAGGGTTTTAGAAGCTGCAGAGTTTTGCACTGGTGCAGTTGTTTTTGTGGGGTTGCATTTGCTTTTATTTTCATTTGAGCAGCTCTAACCCAGCCCTGTAGACAACAGCACTGGGGTGAACCAGAGCTGTACAGCAGCCTGCTCCTCCTCTGCAGAGATGCACAAATTTAAAGAAGTCTGCACAGAACAGAACACRTTCTTTCCTTTGACCAGGCTCACAGAGTATGGACAGGACAGCTCAGGGATCTGTCCCTGTCACAGCTGAGCCCTCCAGGCTGTCTCACAACACCCAGTGCCTGACAGCGTTTTGTAACTGATGGTTTGGAAATGGGAGCTTTTAGCTTGACATTTTTCAAACGTGTGAATAAAAAACAAAGGATGAAGACAGTTGAGAACACCATTAAAACTTCACCCCACCCTTCTGCAGCTGCTCCTGGCTGAGATCTGTAAATTTTGGAGGACAAATGGCCCATGAACACCAGCTATGCTAAAGSACTAAGAGAGAGGAATCTTTTATTGAAAAAATAAGCCTGTGAATAAGGTCCTTCTTCAGGAGAGGATTATTTAGCTGCTGCACTTCAGTGTTGGTGTCCTACAGCTGCAGAGAGGTGCCTGCTCACTGGAAAAGGGATCAGAAGAGAAGACTGAGGGGGACATTCCTGGCTTGACACAGCCAAACAATGGTTTTCCTGTGCTCTCCTCTCAAGATCTCTGGTGCGGTGCTTGTTGAGAGGCTTCAACTCAAATAAATAAATCAAACCCCCAGAGAAAGCAGCTTTCTGGTGATGTGGTGATGCACTCCCTTCTCTTTTCACCCTTCTGTTCTCATCCTTTCCTAAAAAATCTCAGCCACACTTTGGTGCTCTGAAAACAGRGCACATGAAATTGGGATTGTCCTGTGCAGGGCAAGGGATTGGACTCGATGACCCTTTCAAATTCTAGAGATTACAGGATTCTCACACAAAGAAGCTACAATAGAAATTTCTGGAAACTCTCCTCTTCAGCCACCTTTGCTTCCATGAGTAATCTCACTGAAGTTCTGAGACAATAACTGAYTTCCCTACAGAAAGATGTGGTTTGRATCCACAAAGCCRCATTAAGAACAYTTCTTTCTGCAAGGATAAGCATACATGGCCATGTTTTCCATGTTTTACACTGAATAATCATCAGCAAAAAGTGTTGAATCTTCCACTGGTTCAGGGGCACTGAGGCTCCTTCCTGGCCCCTGGTGAAAGGAAAGGGAGCTTCTTCCCCAGAATTTCTTCCCAATACCCAGTGTAACCCTGCCCTCTGTCAGTTTGATGCCATTCCTCCTTGCCCCATCACCACACCCTCCTATAAAGAGTCGCTCTCCAATATGTGTATCAGACCTCTATTCACCTGGGCATTTTCAGTTTAAGTGGGAATAGGTAAAACCCACCACCCTGCACTCCACTGCAGAGATTTTCTCCGTCTATAACCCACTGCTTGTGGAGGGAGGAAAATCCCACACACGCAAAGGAAACTCCGGTGTGAAGTGAACTTCCTTTTTCCACTGTGCTCATCCGTGGTCAATGAATAACTCCAAAGTTCACAGTCCAATGCACATGACTCAGGACTCCACTGGAGACAGTCAGAGCTTTTCTTCACCAGGATCTCGCACACAAAATGCCCTGTGTCAGTTCAAGGRACACCACTTCCCTCTCAAACCAGGACACAAACACAAGCAGTGCTGTTTTTGCAGGCAGACAACAACACGGTTCCTCTGACTCGGACTGCAGYGTAAAACACTCCACCATCTCAGATTAGGGAAAATTTGGTGCAGGAATACCTGTGAGAATCTGCTTTGAGGTGCATTTTGAGTATCACAGATTCTTGGAATATCCTGAGTTAGCAGGGACCCACAAGGATGATCCATTCCAGTTCCTGGTGTTGCAAAGGAGACCCCAACAACCCCACCCTGTTCATCCCTGGCAGCGCTGTCCAAACGCTCCTGCAGCTCTGGCAGCCTCGGGGCCGGGACCATTCCCTGGGGAGCCTGGGCAGTGCCAGCACCCTCTGGGGACAGAAGAATCTTTCCCTGAGATCCATCCCAAGCCCTGACACAGCTCCAGCCGTTCCCTGGGCTCCTGGCCCTGCCCCAGAGCAGAGCTCAGCCCCTGCCCCTCCGCCTCCCCTCGGGAGGAGCTGCAGCCCCCGAGGAGTCTCCCCTCAGTCTCCTCTGCTCCAGCTGAACAAGCCAAGAGCCCTGAGCCGCTCCTCAGACCCTTCCCCAGCTCYGTGTCCCTCCTTTGGCCACTCTCCAACAGCTTTAGATCCTCCTGATCTCGTGGTGCCCAAAGTGCCCCCAACACCCGAGGTGAGGCTGCCCCAGTGCAGAGCAGAGCAGGACAATCCCTCCCTGGCCTGGTACCCCCAGGACACAGTGACCCTTTGGGCTGCCAGGACACACCGGGGACTCTGATCCAACTTAGCACTGACCAGGACCCCCAGATCCCTTCCTGCAGCGCTGCTCTCCAGCCTCTTGTTTCCAGTGTGTCCCTGCATCCAGGGCTGCCCCGGGGCAGGATCCAGCCCTTGCCCTTGGCACATGTCACAGGGCTGGTGGTTGCTCAGCCCTGGTGTTTGTCAGGGACTCTCTGCCTCCCAGGGAGTCAGCAGCTCCTCCCTAATTAGTATCATCAGCAAACTTACTGGCATCCCTTGCACTCCTGCTACTGCATAGGCTACTTCTTAATCCCCTTCTTTATTCTGACCATATCAAGTAGTCAAAAATTTGGTATTTCTCCAGAACCAGAGAAAGGTGGCAGAGAATAACAAAGGCCAAGCCAAAAGATGAGCAGTGACAGGGAAGTGAGAGAGCTGAACTCACTCCTACTTTCCACAAACACACCAAATGGCCTGGGGCATGTCCCCAAGACCAGATTCACAGGAAACTGTCTCCTCTTGTGCCTGCAGATGTCCCAGCCAAACTCAGGAAAGCYCAATATCCTAACCTTTCCATCCAACAAAACMCCCAGTTTCTGAGTCCTTACTTTARGATATTTTCCATAYTGCTTTTATATTTTCATTCTGATTTGATGACTCTTCTYCCAGGTAACAAGTGACAGGACAAGARGAAATKGCCTCTAGTTGTGCCACAGGATGTTCAGGTTGGACATCAGGAGGAATTTCTTTATGGAAAGGGTGCTCAGGTGTTSGCAGGGGCTGCCCAGGGAGGTTTGGAGTGCCCATCCCTGGAGGTGTCCAAGGAAKGCCTGGRTGTRGCACTCAGAGCTCTGGSCTGGGAMCAAGGTGGGATTTGGCACAGGCTGGACTCGATGACCTTTTCCAACCTTAAGGACTCTGATTCTGAGATGCAGCAAGGCCAAGAGCTTCCACACAATCCTGCACTCCAAGTTTTCATCCCCWGCACTTTGCCAAGAGCACACAGAGGGGAGGATCCCAGCACAGAGCAGAGCTGTCCACACTCCCTCATCAACAGGGATTTAACGATGGGAGCGCAAGTGGAATGAGAAACCTGGGCACAACACACATCTGACAGCACTTCAAGATGATCCTTTGGGGAGCATCACCAGCCCACCAGGCTTTCCCCAAGCCAACAGACCCCAGACCTTTAAAAAGAGCCTAAAAGGAACGAGACCCCACAGTAATCCAGGAGATCTAGATTTGAAATCCCCCGGTTCAGCACAGAATCAGCGCAGCCTCCAGTGCTCCCACCACAAGCAAATGCCTTTCTCATAGCCTCCCCAGCTGAATTTGAAGAGAAAGTGGTGGCTCTGCACWGGTTTTAAGACAAAAGGCTGGGTCTGAGCCTCTTCCAGATGCYCAGCTCTTACCAGGAACTTCCCAGAGAGGCCAAGGGCAGCAGCAATCACTCCAAAACAATCAGCTCAGYATTACGAACCCAGAGCTGACAGAGCTTGGCTTTGATGGCATTTCCCCTCCCTCATGCACCACCAGCCCTCACAGGGTGGGACACTGTCCCTGCAGTGACACAGCCAGATAAAAAAAATAACTCCAAAAGCCACCCAGCACAACCAGGGAGAATGGGGAAATGATGGCAGCAGTGCCCTGAGAAAAGGAGCAGGGGATACTGAAGTTCCAAGGGTTATCTCCCTCCCACGTCATTCCAAGATCAGCTCTGAATTCCAGGAGTCTCGTGGCGACTCCTGGCTGTGCAGGGGCTTCTGCTGCCCCATCCTCCCCCATCCTGGAGCTGGGGAGAGAGCAGAATCAGASGCAATTCCCCTCAGGGCTCCCACAGCCTGTTTACTCAGCTGTACCTGCTGCCTCAGCAGGTGGGTAGGAGCCTTAATTTGACTATGCAAAACCCACTGCAGACAAATATTGATTCTGGTACAACCACATCCAGAAGTGAAGTGTGGCYACTCAGGAACAGAAACTCAGAAGGCTCAAAAAGACAGAAAGCACAGAAATACCCATGCTCAGGGCCTGCTCCACACTCTGTCACCTGCTCAGACTGACCTCACACAGAACCGGGCTGCAGACAGCAGCAAAAATGTTAATTAGCCCAGAACAACATTGAAATGCACATAAATCCACCAACTGCTTCATTTCTAACCCACTACTCTCTTCACCACGGGCTCCACAAACGAGTTTCTTGAGAGAGTTACAAAACACCGAGACCAGAATTCAGAAGAGGAAATCAGAAGGGGAAACAAAACCACAACATCCAGGGGAAACGGGAAGGGGAAATAAAACTACAAAACCAGGTGCTGTCTGTCTAGGGCACATCTCCGATAGYCAAACCGCACATATCAGAGAGCTTCACCCTCACAACCCCTGTCACGAACCTCCCCATGGGGACCCCCTGAGCGCTGCCAGCCGTGTCCCCGCGTCCCGGGACGCAAATCCCGGAGAGCCCGGCGGGTGCGGATGGAGCTGGCAGCCCCCGGGGGTGGGGGTCTCACGGCTCCTCCCGCCCGCTGCCCCCGATAGCGGCTGCTCCCACCGGGGCCGCTCCCGATCCCGATCCCTCCCCCGCCAGGGCTGTCCCCGATTCCTCCCCACACAYACGCCGCGTCCCCCCAGACCTGTCCCCGATACCTCCTCAAGCACAGCCCCAGCCCCGGGGGTGCTCCGTTCCCCCTCCCCGGACACCCCCGCTACACCCCCGAGCTGAGGGAGAGTCACTCCCCTCCGCCCCC